GACGTACCATCAGCGGAGGAACATGAGATTAAGCATCTAGAGCCCCAGGAGCAAGCTGCCGCCTGATCCAAAGGCATCGGAAGCAATAAAATAGTGCCGCGGCTTTGGTGATAGCGCGAGCCCCGGGCGCGAGGCGAAGCACCCTAGTGGGTCTGGGGGACATGCCCTTCCCCGGTGAAAATTTTGAAATCTACAAGGCAAAATTGGTGGGCTCGGTGGCAATTCTGAGCTATTGTGATTTAGCACAAAAATAGTGGTGGTGCGAGCGTGAGGATTTTAGAAAAACATACATGATGAATTGAACTAAGATTTGTGCTGTAACATAGGAAACTTAAAAATTCAATAATGAACCGAATAAACTCCAAATTTAATTTTTCTCACTTTTTAAGCAATGGAATAATCCTTTGTAAAAACTTCTGAAATACCAATTCCGCGATTCAAGACCCATGCATACAATTGTACATCGGTGCTGCACAAAACGAACTGTTAAGTATCGTGCAATGAAACCGCGCCTGCCGAACATCCCAGGGCCAAAGCCATGCTCCTCCTGCATATAGACGCAACGGCAAATGCTGCCTGTTCATCAGATCAGGAGTAGACCGGGAGCAGAGGAATGTGTGCCAGAGTTGCTGGATCATAAAAATTTTTATATGGCTACAGTGACCCTGCAGGGGCGTGTACAGGAATTTGGACAAGGGGAGTCTAACCGTAAGACCATAACCTTAGCGAGCACGGCCGAACACGGGGGTCTGGGGTAATTTTTGAAATTAGACTCGTTTGCATTTTCTGCGCGAGCAGGGGGGTCTGGACCCCCTGGACCCCCCCCCCTGTACATGCCCCTGACCTGACCTCATCTGACCCTGGTCTCCGCTTATAGGGGCCTAGACGGACATGCGGCCCCGTATATAGCGTCACGTTTATCACAGAGGTTTTAATGAAGATGCGTACGGCGCTCCACGTGGGCTGGCGCGGTCTAGATGCTATCTCCAAAACTCCCGCCGCGGCGGCGCCTCTGGCTGCGTACGTGGCATGTTTTAATCAACCTCTTGACCCCGCGCTGCCCGTGGCGACGGCACGTCGTGCGAGCACGTGCTGGCGTGGCCGTGCCAGTATTTACACGTAGCTAATCCTACGTATACTTGCCCCTGCTGCCCCTCCCCCCCCAAGGCCGCCGTAGTCAAGCCGGTGTACGTCTGACCAAAACTGCGCGATGTTTCGCTTCCCGCTATACGGATTCGCGCGCCCGCCCTCCTTCGGCGCGCGAATTCGTATAGCGGGCAGCGCAAGATGCTACATGTGTACAACACCCCGCGGTCGCGTGCGCCCAGTCCCGCGGAAGTGCGCGGCTTAACCGCTCTCGGCGGTCGGGTAACAACGCATCTTTTGCGCGTTGGATTACACGTATATATACATGATATCAGGAGTTAATAAAGACAAAGTCTGTCTTTATTAACTCCTGATGATATATGTACCGGCCAAAAGACGGTATAAATTATTGAAAGATTTTGGTTACGGAAAATTTATGGCCTGAAAAAAGTGCCGCGGCGGTCGCGGCAGTTCCGACGCCCTTGGCCTGGTCTATACTATATATAGAGGAATATAGTACGTGATATTAGACCTGACGATATTGCACGATCACTATGTCAACCTGCGTGATATGTTCAGTTACAACTTGATGGTTGTACACATGATCTGCATGCTAGTAGGCATGGATGCTTTCGATATTTCTACACACAAAATGGCTATGAGGCGTTTGTGTATTCCATTCACATATCTACTATACCCAGGGGGCAAGACAGGTTTACCAGACATGGGATGTTGTAAAAGGTTGTTTGGTATCAACATGTTCAGGGGACCTCCCTGATCAACTTTCAGGTGGACTACCTTGAAATCATGCTGCTGGAAAAAAATGGTGAAATGTTTGAATAGAACCTCCTTTCACCATGTGTGTGGTATCATAGTAAAGGGAATTAAATTCTCTACAAGATGATACCACATTTAATTGGCTTGGTGATGATTTGCATAACAATTTTAGGCAAAAAATGTGATTTTTGACCATTTTTTCCCAAAATATGAATTGCGCCAAAATACATATTTCTTCATATTTCAAAAATCCTTTCAGTAAAGAATTGAAACTTTCCAGTAAACTGCCCATATGTATGGGCAATATTGTGTAAAAATGACAAGTTCATTGCTTTTCGAACAAAAAAGTTATAGTGCTCCAAAGTTAACAGTTTGCTATACGTTAATTAAAATTGTATCAGCTTTGCTTCCTAATCACCATCCGAGTCTAGACTATATTTAAGCTACTGATTTTAACCCACCACTTGGCAGGCGTGGAATAATATGCATGTACATTCTGAATCATTGAAACGGTTTTAACATACCTATCGATGCATGGTCATTTCTCTGTGGGTTGTGATCACACATCATGCATGTGTGAGCCTATCATGTATATATATATATATATATATATAGAAGTAAAGTCACACACGAACATCCATGTAGATAAAAACAAAGTCAAGGTATAGAATAAGGGTATTTAAAGTTTAATTGACGAGCTTTCGAGATTACATCTCTTCATCAGGTCAGCAGACATTGGAATAGAATCAAATAATCAAAAACAAATACAATGCGTCAAAAATGAATGATTCACACAATTCGCGCGTTGCCATGAATACGGACGACATATATATATACACGCACAAAAACACACACAGACAGAGACACACACACAACACGGGTTGGCTCACGAGGTCGTGTTGTCGGAAACGTTGCAGTACTTGCAATTTTATCATGAATAGGTCTGTGGTTCAAGGGCCTCGGGGCAAATTTATAGTACGGGATTCATTTACATGCGTGTCGACGAACCTCATTTACGCCATTGAATGCGTTAAATGCCAAATTTACTATATTGCATGGCGAAACAAAACGCCACCTTGCGGATAGGTTTGTTGAACACCTAAGATAGTATTCAAGTTGTCCTTAACCAAAACCTCTGTTACATTTGTGCTGTTTAGATTATCACCAGTGAACTTACTCTGACTTGGTGCTGAGTGATTCGAATCCCTATTTTCTAATACCTCATCATGGATGGCAATTTCTGTTTGGATATCATTTGGGTCTTCCATTAACTTTTCCTCTTGGTCAGCGTTCATCTTTGTACAGGCAGTGTCATTTGCAGTCACTAGTTTCTCTGCGATAACTTTATCCAACTGTTCCTGCAAGCTCTCAGATTGCTTCCTTTGTGTGGCAAGGCCCTCTGTAAGTTGGTGGTGTTTTGCAGCATACTGCTTGTCTGATTCGATGTGCTTCTGTATTAACACGTTTGCCTCCCTCAGTGAGCTGAGGCTTTCTTCGTACAGTTTCGTATACCTGTCGCGCTCATCGATAAGACGTTCTCTTTCTTCTTTGTCTATGCCAAATTTGAGCTCATACGACTTTTCCAGATGACTTTGCTGAATGTCACTAACCGTTTGAGGTTTGTTTTGCAATTGCACTTGAATTTTGAGAATATTTTCATTTAACTGACAATTTTTTTGCTCAGCTGACTCGAGCAAACAGCTTTTATGTTGGTGCAAATATTCAAGGTTATTATTTATAGTTATGGCCTTCTTTACATTTCGCTCCAATCTGTTTTGGGCATCTATGAGAGAATTATGCTGCAGCTTTAACTCTTTACATTTAGTTTCCAAAGTTCTCAACTGGGATATCCCCATATTTTTAGATTTAAGCTGTTGCTCTAGCTTGTGCTCCTGGTCCTGAAATCTTTTCTCGAGTGTGTATTTCTCCACCTGCAGCCCTTTCACCTCATCGTTTAGAACTTTCACTTGCTTCTCAATGCATTCACTGTACATCTTACGCTTGAAATTGTCTTTCTTGATGACATCTAACTTCTCATCATACAGCTGTTCCATGCTTTGCTGCTGCATTTTGTGCTGGTCAGCTGCACTCTTCGCACACTGGCTCGCCTCTTCAAGCCTCCTCGCTAGGTTGAACTTTTGTGAAATCAGTTGCGTTATTCTCGTCTCGTTTTCGGCATCTGATATCCGCCTTAAGCGCAGCTCTTCCACAATTTCCAGCAGCCGACTGTGAAATGTCAAAATTGCCGTAGTGTGAATGTCAACATTTGCATCTTCGGTAGCATCGGTGTCCCGCTGATTGATGGAAATTTTACTCATCTTGCTTTCTGAAACGTCAAAGGCAAATTAAGTTCTGAACTCAATACTACCTAGCTCTACCTGAGTGGTGCTTTCCATGCAGTTTTCTCTGCCAACGGCATAGTATGTCTGTGATGGAGAGAAGGACCACACAGAGCTAACAACTTATGCGGGATTGGACTATTTATATTTTATCACTATCACTACCAGGAAACCAGAAAATACGAGATATACCCAATATTACCCATACTATGGCCATAGTCATACTATATTATTATTATATAGAATAAACCAACCGGACTATTGTTGGGTTACCCTTAGATACAATATTTAATGTAACCCAACAAGAGTAGGGCCCAGGGTAAACCAACAAGAGTAGAATAGTAACCTTACTCTTGTTGGGTTACATTACGTCATTATGGCCTTTGTAAGAGTATTGTATCTAGGGCCTACTATCTACAGACAACATAATCTAGGTTACTGCAATACTGCCTGGCCTCAGTTGTTGACATTGACATTATTGTATAGATCTGTAGTACTACTAGTGAGGGTGTACTAGCACTACTAGTAATACGATAGTAATAATACGAAATAGCGCCTAATATATATCATTATGTCTAGGCTATTGGTTTTTGTTTCGAATGGTTCTTATTAACCTTGTAACTTGTTGATGTACTAGTACTAGTAGTAGTGACAATGTTTCATGCGTAAAAATCGTCTGCATCGCATTATATAGACTGGTATCTGTCCCTTCTCACAAGCTCGATAGTTTCTTAAATCGAGTTTGTGAGAAGGGACGGGTACCCGTCTACGCATCTTAAAAATTGAAAACAAGTGACCACCGTTTTCCGGTTCCGGTACGGCGTGGGCCTCCTCAAGTTTATCGCTTTCTCTGAAAATTTGTGCGTCAAATTTCTGTAAGTTTTCCCTAATCTTCCTTCTGTGAGTTGTACTATTACTAATTCGTGTGAATAGATTTGCATTAATCGATTCAGATGTCACCGAAGAAAACGTATGTGGCAGCAGATCTCTGAATCCCCATTATCGAGCGGTAACGAGATGCCGGGAACACGCGTATTTACGGCCCTGCCGGGCCGCCCACAGCCCAGGCACGTAGAACTTGAAGTTAGAACGTCTCAATAAAAAAAAATTATGGTAAATAAACACGAAATGTATTTACTACCAAAGTCTTAGTGTTTCTCTACTCTCTTTCGCCCATAATCACCTGTAAATGCTGGACAAATGCTCATCCGCAACACACAAGTACACCTCACTGTTTTATTTTTATTTTTTTTTTTAGTGTGAACTTGAACTTGAACTCACGCTATCTCCAAGAAACGGGGAAGGAAGGGTTGGCGGCTAGGCCCAGGGGGAGGCTAGGGTTGGAATACCGTATATTGACGTTAGTCACACAGCCTGGTGAGTGGTGTGGGTAACGTCGCTTACGGCGTTACGCCTACTCCCTAACGCTAACCCTAACCATATCAAATAGTGACCAGGTTACGCTCCAGCAGTACCCTGGGGGACATAGACCCTATGAGTATGAGCAGTACTAGAGCTAACCCAGATAGCATGCTTACGTTGGGCCAACGTTGGCGTTTGGTTGGCACGGTCACGGTTGGCAATATGACGTTGGGCCAACGTTGGCACGGTCATGGTTGGCATG